GCTCAGAGAGAGGAATCACCTCCCCAACAAGGCATGATCATGCCACAATCCTTTTTCTTCCATTTATCCATCCTATCAAGATTTGTGGCATGCAGACCCATGTGCCAGCATGTTTTTTAAGCCACTGGGCTGGGACTTGAACTGTGGTTAGCTAAGTGGGATCTGGCTCCCTGTATACATTGCTTAACCACTGTACTACAGGACCAGCCCTCAGAGAACTTTTTAGTTACAAGATAATATTGGGTCACTGGGAAAGTTATGACACATTTTTGCATAGAAAAATACATCATGACTTTCCTGATGACCCAATAAGTATTCTTACCTTTGCAGGTGATACAATCTCCATAGGAACTCATCAACTCTGCCACCGTAGCTTGAAAGAATATATAGACAATATATAAATGAATGAGTATGGCTATGTTCCAGTAAAACTTTATTGACAGGAAAAGAAAGGTATTGGGCCGCATTAAGGCAACAGGCTATACTTTGCAAACCCTAGATTTTAACCACATTCACTTCTGGACTCAGGCCTATCTGAGGCAACATTAGGTCCAGGGTGGGCAGATCTGCCATGGCCTAGCCACGTGAGAGAATCTAGAAGCTTTCTGAGCCCAAGTTTTCAGCAAGGAAAAGAATGAAGGCAGACTGACAAAGAGATATCAATTTCTCAAGCAGTTGCCATAAGCCTTCTCCTCTAGCCAAGATGCTTCAGAATTTTAGAATAAGATTTTTTCCCCTCAGTCTCAGCCTTCCTGCTGCCCTGTATGTGAGCTTATTTCTAGGACTAGGCAGCTTAAACAACCATCTACCTAAGACCAACAAGTGACCTCGTCAACCTAACAAGGTAATAATCCTTAAACTCTGATAAATGAATGTCAGACGACATAGTGAAATTGTCTTATTATCTCTTTAGTTTGGGTTTGCCTAAAAAGCAAAGCAAAGAAAAGAGCTTGAGTACAGAGAGTTTATTGAGAAGCAAAAGGATAGAGAATCCCTGAAAACGAATCCTGAAGTCATGGCATTCGTTTATAAGGTTCTCTTATGCAGAGAGACAGTATTCAAGTATATAACAGAAATACCCCATTAAATCAAGGGGAAAATCCTTGCAGTGAGTTCCAGGCCTAGTTGTCTAACATCCTAGTTATCTGCTTTCATTCCTTCGAGTCCCGACCATCAATCTCACCTCACCGCTCTGTCCTGAGCCTTTTTGTCCCTCTAGGTTTCACCCAGCGCCCTAACCCTGATCTACTTCCCAACATTGATGTTGTCTGTATTTGTCACTCACTCGGCTGGCCACATCCAGAACTCATCACCTGAAGCCATTTGGCTCTAAGAGTCACACAACCCCCAGAAACCAGTTCTTGCTCCAGTGAAAGGAAGGACTTTTGGGTCATCAGAAAAATCATGACACATTTTTGCATAGAAAAACATAGAGAAATACATCATGACTTTTCCAACAACCCAATAGAAGAGGCCTAGGGCAGAAATACCTTCCAGAGAATACTCAGAGCCAGTGTAAATCCCTTCTGATCTATGGATTCCCTTTTCCTCTTTAAAATGCCTTTGGATATTTCTTTGAAAGCTGATAACATAAGGGAGAAAACAGCTCTCTTTTCTTTCTTAGTTCTGGGGTGAAGGAGCAATCTGGTCTTTTCCTTTATGACCACATATCTCCTAGGGGAAAGGATGAAAAATGAGGAAAAATTCCTCAAAGACTTTTCTAGGGCCCTGCCTGATGGCACAGGTAGTAGTGTACCCAAATCCAGGGCTAGAAGCCACATGGTCAACCATGGGTTCAGCTCTCCAGTCAACCTGAACCATGCCAGGTGCTCACAGGGGCACCCAAGATCCTAAAGAGCTAGAGGCTGGAGTAAGGGGATTATGGTATGAAACCTTGTCAGGGATGCCACCTGTCTCTCTCTTATGCACATAAACATGCTCTCTGTAATGAATAAAATTAGCTTTAAGTAAACCTTCTGTGATTTAGTCTCAGTCCTCAAGGTGATGACTCTGTCCACCTAGACAATATGAGTTAATAACGTGAAACATGATAAAAACAGCTGATTTCTTTCTTTCTCACACGTTCACGGCAGATGTAATCATTCTTCTGCCTAAAATTCTTCCATTTTATTCCTAATGTTGACTCAGGCCAGTGCATGTCTGACTGAGCATCTCAGAGGAACAATACATGGCTTAAGCCACGGGATGTCCTCCACCTACTCATGTAGATGTCTGCCCCCATACCCTGGACAATCATAATCGCCCAGAGGACATAGACACTGGACATGGAATTGGCCGGATTAAGAACATTTGAGCTGAGATGAAATAATGGTGTACATATATAATAGCTGCATTTTAAAGAACTAGAATTAGAAGTTTAATTCTGGGCCAGCAGTAGTCATGGTGGTTAAGGGCACTGGACTCCCACATGACCAGCAGCGGTTTGAGTCCCAGACCTAGTGGCTTGCTTTCTCACTTTCTCTCTCCCTCCTCCCCTCCCTTCCCCCTCCCTCCCCATCTGTCTGTCTAAATAAGTAAATAAATCTTTAAAAAAAAAAAAAAAAGGAAGTTTAATTCAAGCACTCTTGTAAATAAATAAATAAATAAATAAATAAATAAAATAGTGGGAGCAGCAGGTGGCGTGGTGGTTCAGACGCTGGACACTCCCACATGACTGACCATGGTTTGAGTCATGGACCTGGTGGCTTGCTTACTCACTTTTCCTCTCTCTCTCTGTCTCTCTCTGGTCAAATAAAATAAGTGGATAAATAAAATTAAAGAAATAAATCTTAAAAATGAATGAATTAATTAATTAAATAATTCTTTAAAAAAAAAAGTTTAATTCAAGCACTCTTGTCCAGATAGTAGAAGACTGAATAAAGTACTTAATTTTTTTTTCTTTTTTTTGAAAAGGTTTTTACTATAGGGCACGTACGCTCGCCAGACAGACAGAGAGAGACAGAGAGATAAAAAGCAAGAAATCACCCCCCAGGGGGGATGGCCATGCCGCAATCCCTTCTCCTCCACTCCTCTCAGGATCTTGGGCACGCACACACACACGCCCGGTGTGAGTTTAAGCCACCTGGTCCAGGACTCGAACCACAGTCAACTACATGGGAGTCCAGCGACATAGCCATTACGCTAACTGCTGGTCCCTAAAGTACTTAATTTTCAGATTATTGGTTATCTTGGTATTTTTCACTTATAGAAATAAGTCTGTTACTTATAAAACTGGCAAGTTTTAGAAGTCTTACCTTGGAGTCTATTGAGTTTAAAAACACAAGTATCTTTTTATAATAAGGCTTACATCTAAGTGTGAAAGTAAAGTATTATTACGTATGTAAATTAAATGTTTTTAGATGTGTTTCTAAGAATTTTTTATAACTTAGAAGAAACCAAAGTTTTCCTTAATACCATTTGTTTGAGATACAGAAGACTAGCCTTGCTGAAACATAAAATGCTTCAGGCATTAGTAGAAAATGAAATACTTCAAGTCTTATTCCCAGCTGCTTAATGCATTACATTCTTAAGCACCACGTAACACATATTTGACTTCTCGAACTCAGCTTTTATAGAAAACAAAATGTATGGATGTTAAACACGTAATACTAGGAACATTGAAATGAAAATACCTTGTGTATTTTTTTATATTAACAATTTTTCTCATTTCTAGTCCTCAAAGATTTTCAGCCCTTGAATGTTCCACCTTCTTCCAGTTCTCAGTCCAACACTAACCTATGTACTGCGGTGAAGGGATTTTGTAGATACAACTAAGGTCCCAAGTAAGTCAGCATTAAGTTAGGGGGAGTATTCAGTGGGACTTGACCTGATCCTGTGAGCCTTTTAAGAGCCTTTTACTGAGTTTTTTTCTGACTGGTTTGGCTGGCTGCAGAGGAAGTTAGAGAGATGTGTTCTGGTCATTAAGCCATCCAACTGCTTTCAAATTAGTAGAAAGAGTGAAGAACATCAGCTTGCTCTTAGAACATATCTATAACACTGATTCATCACTTTTCTCTATTGCCCTTCAGTTAAAGTTCATACCATTCCTATTAATTTAAAAAGAGTGAAGATGCAGGTGTGTTTTAGAAAGCAACTAGCCAGGATATAAATGTATAGTAAATTTATTATAAACAAGAAAAGAAAATATTAACTATGAAATAGAAAGGACTCTGTTTTGGCAGCAAATTCTTATTATACTTGTAAGATATTGTGGCATCACCTAGGAATATAAAGTTTTCTAAACCGTGTGGAATATATCTATATATATCTATATATACCTATATATATAGATATATATACATAAAAATTATCCCTTATAATTGTCTTCAGTAGAATATGTAGACCATATAATTAATAATACAAAATGGGGACCAGCAGTTGGTGTAATAGCTATGTCGCTGGACTCCCATGTAGTCGACTGCGGTTCGCGTCCCAGACCCGGTGGCTTAAAACTCACGCCAGATACGTGTGCCTGCATGCCCAAGATCTCAAGAGGAGAATGGAGGAGAAGAGATTGCAGAGTGGCCATCCCCCCTGGGGGGGGTGATTTCTCGCTTTCTGTCTCTCTGTCTCTGTCTGTCTGGCGAGCGTACGAACCCTCTAGCAAAAAAACCTCTCACCACCAAAAATAATAATAATACAAAATCAATATATAAAAGAATAAAATACTCTCCTCAGTCTTCCTAACAACTTATTATGGTTTATATTCCTTAAAGAAAAGGAAAAATCCCTTAAAAGCCCAGTAAATTTTCAGACAAGTTAGAATCCACTTAAAACAAATTTCATTACACATTGTTAATATAGTTAATAGTCAAAACATACAGTGATTCCATGTTTTCTTTCATAAATGCTACACATTTTCTAATGAAGTCAATAGTGTTTACATGCTATCTCTAGTTCGATTTTGGCTATCTGAAACACTAAGTAAAAAGAGAAACGATGTAAAATATTTGCTATGATCAAAAATAATTGTGGAGCTTGCATTACAATTTAAAATGACATTACTTAAAATATGGATTGTAAATTCTTCTAATTTTCATTGAAACGGATTTAATCTTGACAGGCGAGTTGCTTTTGGTCCATGTGCCCCACTGAATTCCGGTTGCAAGGAATTTTCCAGGGAAGTGATGAATGCCGTTTAGATTTGCTAGACCACACTGGTTGAACCACCAGCCAGTGTTGTTATTGAGGCGACTGCAGCTTTTCACGGACTGACCACTGAGCACACATACGGGGCGACACCCGTCATTATCAACATCTGCTGTGCTGAAAGGCATTGCGTTCTGATTATCTTCTTTTCTGAGACCCCGAAATGCATCACCTGGGTGAAATAGATTTCTTTTAGTGACTGAATTTAATGGCAATGTCCATTATTTTTAATTAACCATTATGAGCCTATTATGTAAAAGCATCTCACATAGAAATGTCCTTAATTTTTCTTTACCATTTATCACTGTTAAATTCAAAATGGAGATTTGGCTGTATAGACAGAAATCAGAAAATTTTGGAAAGAAACGAGAGTGTACAGACCTGTTACACTTAGACCAGTATGATGACTGAAAATTTAGAAAAAGAAAATAATGCACACATAGTAGGTTTTCATGCCACCACCATTTACATCACTTTAGAGAGAGAGGGATGGATGAAAGTGAAACTTCTCCTCTAAGAAACTTAGTTTTAAATAGCAAGAAGTTGTTTTATTTAAGGGCTATTGAGTTTTTGTAAAATACCCAATGCCTTCAAGAAAAGTTTAACTGCAGTCCTGAAGTATACTTTCTTTAAGCTTCTTCATATGACAAATGGACCAATTGGTTTGTTTGGTTTTTGTGGTTTTTTTCGGGGTTTTTATGTGGGATTTTTTTTTTTTTTTCGAGAGTGATTTTTGCTATAGGGCACATGCGCTTGCCAGAGAGACAGAGCGGGAAAGTAAGACAGAAAGCGAGAAATCACCCGCCCTACCACCACTGGGTGGGAGGCGGGTTGGCCACGCTATAATCCCTTCTCCTCCAGGATCTTGGGCACAAATGCACACACGCCCGACATAAGTTTGAAACCACCGAACAAGTGGTTTCATGTCCAAGACTCAAACCACAGTCAGTCATGTACAGTGAACATTATATTATGAAATCCCTGATAATCACAATATCCTTTCAAGGACTAAGTATCTAGACCAAGACAATTCAGTTAAATAAGTGGCAGAAACAGAAGGTTTATTTTGTTTTATAAAGCTACATGAAATTAAAAGGTTCTCAGTAAATCCACAATACCCACATTTCACCTATATGTAAACTATGGCTAACGTGTGTGAAACACTAATAAAAGAGAAGTCTGTAAAACTTGTGGCAGAATTAAGGTACAGAATTATTTCATTATGCTTCTGTTTAGCATTTCTTGAGATAAATCTTCAAGGAACCTGAAGAACTTGATTAGCAATGGTGGCCTATCCTCTACCCTAGCTTTGCTGATTATTAAAATCTCTGACTCTGTACTTCATAGGAAACAAAATACACACATTATAGGTATTTGCAGAAAGAGTACTATTTTTTCTTTGCCATAGGCTATATGCACTCTCCAGAGAGAGAGACAGAGAGGAAGAGGGAGAAACCACCCCCAGTGAGGTGTGGTCACACCACAATCACTTCTCTATTTCTCCATCCTGTTGGGATTTGGGACATACACATACACACACCTAGCATGTTTTTCAAGTTGTTAGGGCCAGTATTTGAAATGTACAATTGGTCATGTGGCTCCTTTAACCGCTAGACCACAGGGCCAGCCCCAGGAAGAGGATATCTTTAACAACCATACAGTATAACATCTTTCAAAAATTCATATGAGAGAAACCACACATATGGAACATTCCTAAATTATGTGATCCTCCCATGGATACTCTTGGCTGCATAAAGATCAGAAGATCATATAACATATGAGCTCCGAATGGAGTAGATTTTGTATATTTTATTATTATTTTTATACACTCGATTGCTATACATCGTTTCGTCTCACAAAGAGATCAATGGATTACATTTAACAATTCATTTTTTAAAATATAAGCATAGGTCTATTTCCTAAAAAATAGTCCATTAAAACTAACCTGTCAGGGCCAGCAGATTGTGGAGTGGTTGCTCCCACATGGCTGATGACGTTTCAAGTCCCAGACCAGGTAGCTTGAAAATCACACCAGGCACATGTGCATGCATGCCCAAGATCTTGGGAAGAGAATAGAGGAGAAAGGATTGTAGTATGGCCATCCCCTGGCCTTTCCCTCTCATTGTCTCTGTCTCTCTCTCTCCAGCAACTACACGTGCCCTAAAACAAAAACCTCTATTAAAAAAAATTTTTCATCTGTCTTGTTGGCTATGAGAGAGAAGTTAGAAAACATGACATTTTGTTTCTCTGAGAACCCAGAAAAATTTCTCTTGAGTGTTTTTTTTTCTTTTAAGGTTTTTGCCATAGGGCAAAACCTACTCATCAGAGAAAGTGAGTGATATAGAGGGAAAGTGAGAAATCACCTCGCAGGGTAGACAGCCATGCCGCAATCCCTTCTCCTTCATTCTCCTCTCAGGATTTTGGGCACTCATGAACATATGCTCAGAGTCATTTTCAAGCTACCAGACCCAGAACTCGAACGCCCAGAACTCGAACTGCGGTGGGCCACAGGGGGAGTTTAGCACCTTTACCACCAGACTACTGGCTGGCCCCTCTCTCAATGCGGTGGGCCACAGGGAGAGTTTAGCACCTTAACCACCAGACTACTGGCTGGCCCCTCTCTCAAGGTTTTTTTGTTTTGTTTTGTTTTGTTTGTTTTTTTGTTTTTTGTTTTTTGAGAGGTTTTTGCTATAGGGCACGTGCGCTCGCCAGACAGACAGAGAGAGACATAGAGACAGAAAGCGAGAAATCCCCCCCCAGGGGGGATGGCCATGCCGCAATCCCTTCTCCTCCATTCTCCTCTTGGGATCTTGGGCATGCATGCACACACGCCTGGCGTGAGTTTAAGCCACCACGTCCAGGACACGAACCGCGGTTGACTACGTGGGAGTCCAGCGACATAGCCATTATGCCAACTGCTGGCCCCTCTCAAGTTTTATAATCAGAAATGTTTGTGCTGCTCATGGAACAACTGTGTTCCTCAAATGTTTGAAATCATATTTCTATTTTTTATTCTGACCTCGAAGTCAAAGTTGTGGCCTACCACTACTGCACACCGATCACACTTAACTCCCTGGCCTTGCCTATACTTCAAGTCTTAGGTTCTCCTCACACCTTTTTCTTCCGTTATTTTCATTATAATGAAGTATGTATTCAACAGATGAAAGTCCATTATTGTCATTATAATGAAGTGTGTATTCAACAGATGAAAGTTATTTAACCTCATTGGAAACATATAGAATATGCTATGGAAAAATCCTTGGGTTCTTTATTGAAAATAAACTTTTGGCATTATAAATTTTATCTTCTAATTGGATCATAGTCATCTTTTAGAGAACTCCCACATAAATTTTCCCTAGCATAGTATGTTCTGTATTTAATTAGTTCTCTACAATTTTAGAGGTAAAACAGTGGACACTGTGTATTGCAGTCCTTTAAATTTTCCCTGTATATCCAGAGTTGAAGTTCAGACTTCTATCCAGTATCCTAAGCCTAACCCCCCTCAGACGTCATGAATTCCAACCATACCAGACAACTCTCCAGGCCCTGTAATTTTCCTCTCCCAGTGCCTTGACTCATGCTGCTGTTTGCCAACATTCATTTTCCAAAGGTCTCTTCATTATCCATTCCTCCAAAACCACATAGTGGTTCTCCACTCTAAGTATGCCAACAGAGCCATCTGGCCCAAACTTACTGAATCAGACTCTGCAAAAGTGTGTATTTTTAAAAAGCTTCCCAAGTTGAATCTAATATTAACCTCTGGTTGAAAACTACCCTTCCATGAAGATTTTCTGGATGTAATCAGTTGGAATCATCTTCACTTTCTCTTTGCTCCCTCCTCCCACTTCATTAGTCTTCTGCGTTTTCAGTGTTCTGTATCTTCCCCTGTGTATCGTAGACAGTTAAAGTGCTGGGAATATATATCACTAATTTTTATGTTTCTAACACTAAATACACATAATAAACAAGTACCATGAACAGCAACAGGGAAGGTGGGCTTGCTATTTCTTAACCTCAAATGCTTTTAAAATTTTAGCATCAAAACATAAATTTAACATCAAATATTTTGAAATTCTATCAAATTAAATTTACTTGAAAATGAATAGTTGTACTAAGATACTGTGAAAAGCACACCAAATAAGCTGTTCTGTCAACATGGATTCTTGCCCTAGCTCAAGGGTGATAATCTGGAAATCCTGTATAAGTCATTTTATCTTTTAGGCTTCTTCACCTGTAAAGTGAGAAGAATGATTATCTTTAACATTTTAGGATTCCTAAAGGTCAGCTTTTCTGAAATAAAAATGGGAATGACATTTTTCTAGCCTACTCCACAGTCTCTATATCCAAAGAATCGACTGAGATTATAGACAGCAAATTGTTTGAGAAGGTAAAAGCAATTCAAAATCACAAGATGGTACAGCAATAAAAAATGGAGTTTCCGAATTTAAAAAAATTGGCTGGGTTTCTCATTCCTAATCTATTCTGTAATCAGTCAATCAAGTGCCATGTATCAAAAGAGATACATTATTTTTATATTCACCTAATATTTAGTCAGTTATATGTAAATCTTCTGGATAATTTTAAGAATTAAAAACTTACCAGCATTACCTGAATACCGTCCTAAGTGCATTTTAAAAAATCTTGTTTCATCCTCTAGCCAAAAATTATCGTATGATGCATAAGCAAATGTGTCATCTTCAGATTTCAAAGTCACATACAACATAAAGCTTGTATTTTTCTGATTTACTATATAAAATATCTTTCTTAGTCCCAGCCAAAATTCTCCTGTTTAAAAAAATTTATTTTTGTTTTAATATATTTTAATCCAAGTTAGAATAATACTTTATTATTCAATGTTTGGTGTTATTTACTGTTTCAATAACTCTGTGACAGCTCATACAACTAATTAGAGGGACTAAGCAGCCTACCTCAAATTATAGGCATTCATTTCACATAACAAAAACATCTTCTCACTTCTATTTCACTAGACAGGAGAAAACCACACTCTGTTTCATTTGTATCTTTTCAGACTAAATTCAAAAGTTCATGTAAAGTCAAGATTTATCTTAAGGCATGGCAACAGAAAACCAGTTGAAATATTATGTCAGGTAACAAAATTATGTATACCAGTGAATGTAGGAGATTTAACCTCCAAATGTAGCTCCTAAGGAAGGTCTTCTAAAAATGCTCAGATAAAATTATTTTTTCTCTCTTGCAGAAAACTTTCTAAACAAGTAATTCTTAGTTATAACACAGCTGCTCAGTTACCTGTGACTAGAAGCAGTGGAGCAGCACTGGAGGATCCCAAGTGTAGGGTCAAAATTTCCATTCAGACTGCCTTCTTCTTGCATGCGTATTTCTATTTCCACCCCCTCCACCCGACCCTGTCCATGGCATAGCGTAAACATGTACACCCCCTGGGCTAAGATAAATCTATCTTCTTGAAACAGGAAATTACTGAAAGGAAGTAAGGGTCTAGTAAAAATGAACTTCAAAGAGGATAATGTGAGCAATCAAACTCTTCAGACTATAGCCAAGATATTAAGTCCTTCTCCAGCGCTTACAGGGACATTTTCAGCTACACATCCCCTTAGAACTGAAAAGTGTCCTGAAGCAAGTGGGCACAGCAAGATGGTTTCCTAGGGTGTCTGTTTAGTCTCACACTGTCTACAATGCTTCCATTCAACTGTGCCTGCCATCTTTCTCCTTTCCTTAACCAATACAAAGCAGTCCTAGTTTGCATGACGAATGAAAGATACCTACCTAAAGATCTTGTTAATCAAAACACGGATCAGCTCCCTATAGCAATTAGCATAAAGTGAGGAAGATGACAATTCAAAGCCTGTACATCGATCTGTGACTACTTAATTTAGAATGAAGCATTGAATGGAAAATTAGAGGTAATGCTGAGAAAATAAAGAATATTATTCTGTAGCATGATCATTGCCAAACTATAAGTCAAATGCCTTCTAGAATCATCAGCATACAGTAGGGTTTTGGGTTTAGTTTCATTTGATCTGGTTTGGTTTCTACCACAAGGCGCATGTGTTCCCTGGAGAGAGAAAGAGGGTAAAAGTGAGAAATCATCCCCAACAGGGAATGGCCACATTGCAATCCTTTATCCTCCTGGGATTCTGGGCATGCATGCACACACACCTGGCATGATTTTCAAGCCTCCAGGTCTAGAATAAGAACTGCAATTGGCCTTCTGAGAATCCAGCACCTTAGCCACTACGCCACCTGCTGGCCCCATGTAGTAGTGTTTTTAACTTTAGGACTAACAGCATCATTCACTTGGATGACATTATAACGAGAGGTTAAGGGCCCTGCAGGTGACTTGGTAGTTAAGGCACTGGACTCCCACATGGCTAACTTCAGTTCAAGCCCTGAACCTGCCGGCTTGCTTTCTCACTTTCCCTCTCTCTGTGCCCATGTCTGTCTCTGGTCAGATTAAATATGAATAATAATTTATAAAAATTTAAAAAATTCTAAAAAAAGGGAGGTTAGAGATTTAATTATAACAGCAAGTATTAAAATAGTATAAAAATTACCAAAATCACCTGTAGAAGTTCTAACTAATATAAAACTCTTCACGTTACAAAATACTGATGTTGCTGTTTACCAGCAAAAGTGAGAGCTGGTTCTGTGACACCACAGTAATGTATTGCACCAGAGGAGCTGGGTTCCACATGGTGACCACAGTTTAGCTAGCATATGTACAGGTGCCCAAGATCTGAAAGGCCAAAGAACCGGAAGAAGGAGATCATATGACCAGATCCTATGGACAGTACTTGCCTGGTATGCTCTTGCACTCTCTCTTTCTCTCTCTCTCCCTCTCCTTCTCCCACTCCCTGTCTCTTCCTCCCTCTCTCATGTGCACATGCACAAACTCTTAATGAATAAAGAAAAAAAAGTGATTCTCCATGTAACAACAGTATGACAAGACTTCATGTTACCTTGGGCTTATAATTTTCAATTTTCAAGCACAGTAATTGTTATTTTGAGTAGTGATCTTTATTATTTTTATAGAACCCTATACTCAGTTCAAATAATTTGAATTTGCATAGTCATACACCTTGATTCTCCATTTCATTTGCCTATGTAGACATATACCCACCAGAAGAATTTTAAAGTCTATGACAAGGCTGTCCATTCAGTTTTTTATTCTACAGAAAGTTAGTGAGAACCTGCTAGAACCCTGCTGAGTGTATACTAAATACTTAATAAATATCCAACTTAGAATTTCACTCAACATTTCTCTTTTTTTAGGTTTTTGGTATAGGGATGTGCACCCACCAGAGAGAGACAGATAGACAGACAGAGTTAAAGTAAAGTGAGAAATCACCCAGAGGAGGGATAGCCATGTCACAATCCCTTCTCCTTCATTCCCCTCTCAAGATTTTGGGCACTCATGCACACATCCCCAGCATGAGTTCCAAGTCATCAGGTCTAGAATTCAAACCCCACTTGACCATGGCAGGTGTGCAGTGCCCTAATCACCACGCCATGTGCTGGCCCCTCAACATTTATCTTAAAGGTTTCCAAATGTCAACTAAGGACCTATTTATTTCAAATAATATGATATATAAAAGAGGGTCGCAGTTCGCGTCCCAGACCCGGTGGCTTAAAACTCATGGCGGGCGCGTGTGCGTGCGTGCCCAAGATCCTGAGAAGAGAATGGAGGAGAAGGGATTGCGGCGTGACCATCCCCCCTGGGTGGTGATTTCTCTCGCTTTCTGTCTCTATGTCTCTCTCTGTCTGTCTGGCAAGCACACGCGCCCTATAGTGAAAACCTCTCCAAAAAAGAAAAAGAGGGTGACTGAAGTCATATTAATACTTCTATATTCACCAGGATTTTTAAGATCTGAACAATAGAGAGACACTATATAGGCATAATACCAAAAAGAAGAATAAAAAGAGACCCAGCCTCAGAGATGCACAAATAGCACAACCACTTGGAAGGCTGGAAATGGAACTGGAGGCCCCAGTTTGGTTCCCAGGGCAACCTGTGCATGCTGGGTGTGGCTGCATGCACCTGCAAATCCTAGCTGATTGGGAGGCTGGGGCAGGAGGATCACAACACAGGGAGCTCCTTTTAAAAAATACCTCTCTCTGTTTTCACCTTTTCTCCTCTCTCTCTCTCTCATAAACAGGAAAAAAGAACAGAAATACGTCGAATTTTACCTAAAAGGTCCCCGAATCCATCCAGATAATCACACCACAATTTTTGGAAATCAATTATTCCATCAGTCCTTCTCTGTATCACAGTCCACCCACCTCCTCTGTAATCCATGTCACACATGACCTAAAACAGACCCAAGAGGAGACCCAAATAACACATTATTACTTTCATTATTTGATATTATAAACTCACACTTCCTCCTTAAGCCTAGAGAAAGAAAAGCTACTCCCACTGAAAGTTTTCAGTGCAATTGTATGCCATTAATGTGCTCAGAAATTTTTAGTATCTACAAAGAATACCATTCATTATAAAAACAAACTCACAGTTAACTAAATTACAGTCTTTGTATCAATTATTTTAAAAAATACTTAAGTGTTTGTAGCATTGAAAGGTTATTTTCTTATTTTTCAATTCTATAAATATTTTCTATCCTAGTTATAAGAGTACTGACCTGATGTGGCAGAGTGATACACTTCTTTACAAATAAACCTTTTCTTTTAATTAAAAGGCTGCATTTGGGTTTTTTGTTTTGGTTTGGTTTGGTTTGGTTTGGTTTTAGTTTTTAAATATATTCATATTCCTGCCTTTTACTGCTCTTTCTTCCCCCATGCCTAGGTTTGTGTACAGCCTGGCATTTTCACACAGAAAGGCATGATCTGTGCTCACTCAGCAAGTGCTCATAGGTGCATCGGTTGAAGCTGTGTAAAATGCCCCTCAGAGGACACCTGTAGGGGACCCATAAACGTGACAAGGGGAAGAAATCATAACAATTGTTTCTATCAAAGACTTCCCACATAAAGACAGAAAAAGGCAGTGTGGAGGAAGCTAAGAACCAAGACTTTCCCACAAAGAGGTAATTATGCATCCTACTCTTCTCAGAATTAGAAGCCTTCTTGTCCACATCTGTTCAGAACCAGTTTTTAAACTGTAGGTGAAGTAATTGAGATAATTTAAAAATTATTTCTCACCTAATTCTCAATTTTTTGACATCTTGTCAATAATTTTTTTAATGATAATAATAATGGTACTAAGTCTAAAAAGAGATACTGGTAGTATCTATTAGGAAAAAAAAAGTTATTTTATTATGTAATGAAGACTACCAATCAGGTATAATATAAGTTGTATCATAAACTTACTTACACACAAGAAAGAGTATCCAGAAATAATACATCCTCCCGACACACACACCATCCACATGTGTAATTTCTAGTAGAAATTTCTGCTACATATCCTGGCATAGAACTTTAAAGATCAACACAAGAGTAATTTATTTTATTTAAGAATGAATCAGCTTCTCAATCTGCCTTGCATCCCAGTGAAAGGGGGTTTTTTAACTATTTTTTTATATAATCACATAAAATAATTTATCATCAAAAGAAAACGTAATCACATATATAGGAAGGGAAATCAAAAGTATTCTTAGCAAATTCCAAGGTAAAGCACGCCATTGTTTTCTAATATCCATAGACTAGTTAAAGCAAGGATTTATATGACACAATTTTGCCTCATGAAGGATAATATAAAATCTTATAGCAAATGGATTTAAAGAATATAACCATGGAAACACGAATAGAAAAATAAAACACAGACCTAGTTCTTTTACTGCTTCATGGTTTAGACAGAATTCTAAAACCCAAAATTTTGAAACAGACTTTTATTAATGTATTTTAAACTTTTTAAAATAAAAATAAAATATTAATACTTTAAGATTCTAATGGTAATTAAATTGGTTGGATGTTTATCTTAAATAATCAGGAAAAACTTTACCTCAAATGGGTAACTAGCCCCTTCTGGATGGATTATATATAAACCACTTGGTGTTTTGGTGACAGAGCCGATAGTATCTTTAATATCAGTACAATCTAAACCTAGAAAAGTAAAATTTATTCAATTATTTAGGGTATTTTCAAGTATACATTCATGACACTCATTTTACCATAGAGAATTGGTGCTACCTGAAATTATGATCATAACTTCCATTAATGATATGATTTTAACATCTTAGAAATGAAAAATTATCAGGTGGCATAATGGTTACATTATTGGACTCCCACATAGTCAACCAGGGTTTTAGTCCTGGACCCAATGGCTTAAACATCATGCTGGGTGCATGTGCATGTGTGCCCAAAATCTCAAGAGGAGCATGGAGGGAATTGTGGTGTAGCCATCCCCCCCGAGGGCAATTTCTCATTTTCTGCCTCGGTCTCTCCAGTGAGCTCATGAAACCTATAGCAAAATCTCTCTCCAAAAGAAACAAAGAAATGAAAAATAATTACAATTTTAGAAATAAGGAGAATTATGTGCAAGAACTGGAATTAAAGAATTTATGCTGCAATAAATCTTCACTAATATTACTATTAGTAATACTTTTAGTGATTACTGTTCTATACTATTAAAATTTTTATTTAGGGGGCCAGAAGGGGGCATGGTAGCATGGTGGCATGGACTCCCACATGGCCAACCAGAGTTTGAGTCCCAGACCTGGTGGCTTGCTTTCTCATTTTGCCTCTCTCTGTCTCTCTATCTCTCTCAGGTGGCCATGCATGCCCTGTAGCAAATTAAGTAATAATAATATTTTTTTTAAAGTTTCACTTGGGATAAATGTTTATTTCATGAATTTTAAATTATGCATTCCTTTCTTATAAATAATGGCCTTGAAAAATATTAGAAAGCATAATGTATAAAATCAATCTATATGAATGAGGAGGTGAAAACCCAAAGGAATAAGTAAAGTAACTACCAAGAACACATCTTTGACTACTCTGTTCCACATTTCAGAGATTCTGATGTGTTGGGGATGCTATTAGCAATAGCCAAAAGGGCAGAGAGGGAATTCACTTTCTTGACCAAGAACAAATTGTGCTTAAGGCTAGACCCTGCCCTATTTACAATAGTTAGAATGGTAGTACCTCATATTCACTCTCCAAAGCATTCATCTTCCAGGGACTGTCAACATAATCATGTGGATATGGATATTACATTCTCATAAAGATATTCTACTCTGTAGCACCTTTCATACATGTAATAAAATAAAATCTACCCATACAGTGTCAGTTACCTAGATGCCTGGCTTAGAGTCCTAGTTATACTCCTTACTGGTAAAGAATCGTTGGCAAAGTTGTTTGAACTACTCAAAGCCTTGTTTTCTTCATGTAATAGCAGAACAAAAATAATGCTATCTACTTCATAGTGTCATTCTGACAATTTGTATAGTAGGGTATTATGTAAAGCCCTAATTATAGTGTCTAGCACACAGCAACACACAGAAAATGTCCTCTACAAAAAGTTACCTGTAAAAAATTGTTTACTTTCTCATTCATTCTTAGGAGACATGGATTTGTTACCTATGTTCTAAATCATTAAGAGTCTTTTTTTTTTTTTGAGAGGTTTTTGCTATAGGGCATGTGCCCTCACCAGAAAGATAAAGAGAGATAGAGAGACAGAAAGTGAGAAATCACCCCTGAGGAGGGATGGCCACCCCGCAATCCCTTCTACTCCATTCTCCTCTCAGGATCCTGGGCACGCTTCCACATGCGCCCAGCGTGAATTTAAGCTACCAGGTCTGGGACTCAAACCACAGTTGACTACTTGGGAGTCCAGCAATGTAGCCATTACGCCATCTGCTGGTCCCTAAGAGTCACTTTTATAATAACTTTATGCTTAAAGATATGATGGAAGTTCACTGTGAAGGACTGACATTGGTTGCAGTATCTATTTTATTGCATGAATCCAAACAAATGTAAACAGGTTATTTAGATTTTTCTGGGCAGCATATTCCTCATCGGATGATGATCATCATAGCAAACCCTCATATCGCTCTTTCTATCCACTAGGCAATATTTTAAAGGTTTTTGTGTAGCTATTCATTTAATTCTCACAACTATATGAAGCAGGTACTGTCAGTTTACTAATGAAGAAGCTGGTATCAAGAAACAACTCCCAGAGATTTTTAGCCAAGCATTCTGACATTAGAATCCATGCTCTTAACTATCATATTACACTACCTGTGTCTCAGGAAATTCAGAGCAAATAAAAGAGACATAATAAAATAATACAAAAATAATATGTGAAAGTACCTGCCTTCCTAACTGGCCCATAGAAGATTCTTAGACACTATTCTCTTCCTTTTCTAATAAAAAAAAAAAAATCACATCCTAGGCCCTCAATAGTATTTATTTGCTTGGACCTTTTTGTATGAATTTTTTTTTTTTTTTGAGAGAGAGAAATTTTACTATAGGGCAAGAGCGTTTGCTGGAGAGACAGAGACAGAAAGCAAGAAATCACCCCTAGGAGGGATGACCACACCACTATCTCATCTCCTCCAATCACCTCTCGGGATTCTGGGCATGCACACACATGTGCCCTGCATGAGTTTTAAATGGCAGGTCCCAGGCTCAAGCCACAATCAACTACGTGGGAGTCCAGTAATGTAACCATTCTGCCATCTGCTGGTCCCTAAATTCTTTTTTATTAAGGTTTAAAGAGCATTTTTCTTAGAAGTCCAAGCCTCTGAGGCCAGCGGGTGACATGATAGTTAATGTGCTGGATTCCCACATGGCCACCACGGTTTGTATCCCAGACACAGCAGCTTGAAAATCCCTCTGGGCAGGCATGCATGTGTGCCCAAAATCCCAAGAGGAGAATGAGGGAGAAGAGACCGCAGCATGGCTATCCCCCCGAGGGTGATTGCTCAGTTTCCCTCTCTCCATCTCTCTTCAGCAAGCACATGCACCCTATGGCAAAAACAAAACAAAGTCCAAGCCTCTAGAAATCAATATGCTGTGTTTAGTAGAAAAAGTGCTAACTTTCCATGTATTTTTGTATTAGATTTCATCTTTTCAAATTTTATATCCCAATCTGAAACATTTCAAGCATGTTAAAAGCATTTTTATAAGTGGGAGGAATGCTAAAATTTTCTTTTCTTTTATCTGAACATTGATTATTATTAAAATGTAAAAGGGGAGACCAAAATAAAGTTACATAAAACTATGCTATTTTCAACAGATTCAGGATATTTTTTTTAGTCATGGTTTTGAACTGGTTGGAAAAGTTTCCCAACTTAGAAAGGTACACATTGTCTTTGGAGTTATTTGCTTAGTGGTAGGTATTAGTCCTCAAGTCCTTTAGAGAATGGCAAGCTGCATTTTTTAAAACAAAACTTCAAAATACGCCAATCTGTCCAGGAAAATTGTAAGCAATGAAAGACAAATATGAAAAGACTGAAATATCAAAGGTCTTACCATGTGACTGAACTGGTCTGTGAGGAAAAGGATCCAGCTGTTTTCTAAAAACTTCTGTAGTCAAAAGGAGAACTCGATTCATGAGCTCATTAACCTAAAAGCATACATATACACACAGATATATTGGAGCAAATTAATATTTGAACAAACTTCCTTTAGCTAAACCATATAACTGCTCTCTCTAAGCTTCTTACAAACCCAGTTCTGAAATGTATAATAATGCCCATTTTTCTAGATTGAATCTTTACTGTTTTGTTAAAGTCATGAAGACATAGTTAAATAGCAGTCATTATATTGAATAGTGTCTGCCTCCCTAACATTGCTCTTATCTGCTCCTGTTTCTGCATTTGACTGCCGTTGCAGAGCTGTTCTTCATACCTTGCCGAAACTGTTGCTATAGTTTCTTTTCACCTCTCTTTGCTCTTCCTCAAGTCATCCTCCACACCAGCTGTCAATCAGATCATGTCATTCCTTTGCTCAAACACATCAGTGGCTCCTTTGTGTAGCATAACTTAGTTCCTGGCCGTTCCTGTGGTCAGTTTTCCTGATACTCTCTCACCTTCACCTGCTACCAGACCTCTGCACAAACTCGAAGAAGCTCCTCCAAAATGGAGTGCCCTCCCCTCCTTAACCAATCTTTATGACTTTTAGAGCATTTATTCATCTTCGTGACTCAGCTCACAGGCTCTCTCCTCTTGGAAGCTTTCTTGTATCTGAGGGTTCTTTTGTGTCATTGTAACTGCGTTCACAATTTTTCAGTATACTTTTCTGCTCCACTAAGTCATACCTCTGAATGAAGGTCCTTTGTTTCTATTGCTTTCTGTTTGCCACAGACTTACTGTGGTGCCTCTAATATAGGCACTAAGTAGATGTTTGAACGTGAATGCATTAAATAATGAAATTTTTATACCCCCCATGCTAACTGTATATCAATGTGCATACATAGTAACAACACAATATTGAAAAATCCATACCTGATTAGATAAATAATCCAAGGAAGTTTGTTGCTCATCCATCATATTTCTTAGGAGTTTTTTGGTACTTCGTGTGTAGGAAACAATAGAATTTTGCAGATTTCCTTAACCATAATAAAAAGTGGCTGTTAAATAGTATGTTGTTTTGGAAGACAATTACAGTGAAAAATAATAAATTTCACATGATTTGGGGTAAATATATAAACTATAGTTTACTTATAGTTTATAAGTAAACTATACTCAGAACTGTATAGTTTACTTACAAATTTTGTTTAACTCAGAATTAATCAAGAATACAATTGTTTCAATATATTTCTTTTTCTTAAGAATTATTCATTTATTTAATTCCGTTTGTTATTATTTTTTAATTTGACTAGAGAAAGAGGGAAAATAAGAAAGCAAGCCTCCAGGTCTGGGACTTGAACTGCTATCAGCCTTGTGGGACTCCACCTTTAACCAATATGTCACCTGCCAACCCCTGTTTCAACACATCTTAATGAAACTATACTTCCTGGTAATACAGATTAATTAAAACAAAACTATGCTTGTTAATAATATAGCATAACCAAAATCTAATTATGCAACATCTGACTATCAATTCTTACTTTGTAAGATGAGACATATAAAGGCAAGAACTCACCAATTCTTCTGTATAAGGCAAAGGGTAGCAATTTCATACCAGACGAGTTTTAAAAATAAACTTTGCTGGACCAGTAGATGACATAATGGTTATGTCATTGGATTCTCACATGGCCAATCATGGTTTGAATCCCAGACCCAGAAGCTTGAGACTCACACCAGGCACCTGAGAGGAGAATGAAGAAGGGATAGCAGTGTGACCATTCCCCCTGGAGGGATGATTTCTGGTTTTCTCTCTGTCTCCGTCTCTCCAGTGACTACACATGACCTATAGGACAAATCCCTCCCTAAAAAAAAATGAATAAATAAATAATTAAACAAATTTGGGAGCCAGCAGGTGACACCAAGGTCAAGGAGGCTGGATCTCACATGACTGACTCTGCAGTTAGAATCTCAGACCAGTGGATTGAAAATGACGCTGGTCACATGTACATGTGTGCCCCAAATCCCAAGGGAAGAATGGAGAAGAAGGGATTGCCATATGGCCATCCCCTCTGGGGGGTAATTTCTCACTTTCCCTCAATTAGTACCATATTTTATATAATTAAATTGCTAATACACACATAATTAGACACAAAATATATCTTAGCCAAAAGTTTTAACTACTTGATTTCTGTCTTAACTTTTACTCTTCTATTTTTTTTTTTTTTCTGGTTTTTTTCTTTACTTTTTCTCTTTTTTTTTTTTTTTTTTGAGAGGTATTTTTTGCTATAGGGCGCGTATGTTCGCCAGAAAGACAGAAAGCGAGAAATCACCCCCTAGGGGGGATGGCCACACCACAATCCCTTCTCCTCCATTCTCCTCTCTGGACCCAGCGTGAGTTTAAGCCACCAGGTCCGGGACTTGAACCACAGTCGACTACATGGGAGTCCAGAAATATAGCCATTATACCAACTGCTGGTCCCCTATTCATTTTTCTTTTTGAAAATATTTGGGCTACCTCTGTAGCCTGGTGGATAAGGGTGCTGAATCCCACATGGCCAACCATGGTTCGAGATCTGGCCTGGCAACTTAAGAACATGCTGGGCACTCGTGCATGCAGGCCTAAAATTCCAACAAGATAGAGAAATGGAGAGGGAATGCAGCTTGACAATACCCCTATTGGGATGTACTTTCTCCTGCACTCTCTCTCTCTCTCTGGTGAGTGCATGTGCTTGCTGACAAATAAATAAATATATAATAAAAAGCATTTTTATTTTAAAACAGTATTTCTTAAAGAAAAGTTGTAAGAAGAGTACAAAGAAATTTTTTTCTAAGACATTTGAGACCCTGTTGCCATGAAGCCCCATCATCCCTGCTATTTCAGTGTGTATTTTTTACACCATAGACAGTTTCAATAACACTGCCATCGAAATCAGGGTAGAAACACTGACTACCTAATTCTCAGACCCTTTACAAGTTTCATCTATGATACCAATGATGTCCTCTTTAACAAAAGGACCTGCACATTATTGGATACATTAATCTTTTAAAAGTTCTTTTATTTTTAGATTTCTATCACTCTAGAAATAGAATCATATTAATAATCCTTAATACCTTTGATTCTACCTCACCCAGGTTCATCTCTCTTTTATTTTCAGTTTCTTTTTTTAAAAAGAATTAATTTATTTAATTCCATTCGTTGTTATTATTTGTTTAATTTGACCAGAGAGAGAGAGAAAGAGAAAAAGAGAAAGCAAGCTGCCAGGTCCAGGACTCAAACCACAGTTGCCCATGTGGGAGTCCAGCATGTTTAACCACCACACCACCTGCAGGCCCCTATTTGCAGTTTCTTCCTATTTTTTCTTTTTTTCTGGATTTAGACATCTCTCTTTTTTTGCTCTTCCTTTTTTTTGAGAGGTTTTTGCTATAGGGCACATGCGCTCACCAGAAACACAGAGAGAGACAGAGAGACAGAAAGTGAGAAATCACCCCCGAGGGGGGATGGCCATGCCGCAATCTCTTCTCCTCCATTCTCCTCCTGGCATCTTGGGCATGCACGCACACACGCCCAGCGTGAGTTTAAGCCACCGGGTCTGGGACTCAAACCACAGTCGACATCATGGGCGTCCATTGACATAGCCATTACACTAACTGCTGGTCCCTAGACATCTCTCTTAAGGGGCCTAAAGCTATACTCATTAGTTTGAGAAACATGTATTTTTCATAGAATTTGCTACATGAAAATGAATGTTTTATCACCCCTGAGAATTAGAGTCCTATAAGAATTGGATCAGATTATCAACTCTGCCCCTTCTGAGCCCTCTTCATCATCCTGCTTCCTACATACATACAATAGACTACAAAAATTACTGCACTATTTCTAGTTTTTTTGTTTAAGTTTTCTTTCATTGAAATTAAACTGGACACTGGATGGTGGTACAGGAACAATGCAGTGTTCCATGAGGCTCACCCCTGTGAGAAACTCAAGGTCAGTGTCTGGAGACCTCCCTGGACATGCTGGGCAAGTATGTGCCAGTGATCCAGGGCTGGCTGAAGAAGGGGCTGAGCCGTGGCATGAGGTGCTGTTGAGGATGCCTCTCTCTCTCTCTTTCTCTCTGTCTGTCTCTTGCTCATAGAGAAAAGAGAGAGAAAGGAAAGGAGGAGGGGGGGAGGAATTGAAACTAGAATTTTTTATTTCTTATGTTTTGCTACATTAATCAGCTATAAAATTTGTATTGTACCTACTATGTTATTGCAGTATTTAATACTAAAAATCAGTTTTAGACCCTCCTTCCCAAAAAAACCACTAAGGTGAAACTTCCTAGCGGTCAGATGAAAGTAAGCCTCAGGTGAACTGATGTAATCTACTCTCGGTGCCCTCTGGTGTACCACTTCCCTCTGTGATCAGATGATGCCACAGGGGTATATGGAAGAAAAGTCCATTCATTTACCAAATATTGACTAAGTACCTGCTATGTGCCAAACACAAAAACCTTTCACCTAGGACGATCAAGATGTATATAAAATAACCTAAATCAAAGCTAAGGTATCTTTTTCCATGTCTTACCTAGAAATAATAAATTATACACCTTTATCATTGTGGTTATTTTAAATACTTACTACACATGAAATGTTTTTCTTCTCGTGTAATTTTAGTTTTAATGTCAAATGATTCTTCACAGTCTTCCTTATAAATAGTATCGTTATTTTTACTTTCATCTTTTGCATTAGATATATCTTCTGCAGTGTTAACTGATGAATCCTTTACATTAAAAAATAGAAATAAAATATGTCATATGACCTAATCATAATAAATAAGAAGTCTACAAGGGAAGGTTCCATTCAATGAGGATAATTATTGAACAAAAGACATACGAATGAGGATGATCACTGAAAACCATAATAAATGATTAGTTCAAACTTCTATAAGTAAACTAAATTTTATTCAAAATTTTGATATAAATAATAATCAGATCTTAATACTTTTATTCTGACATTTTGTTCTCAAATTTCAAAAGAATGTATGTAGGGTCTATGCCATTACTATGATTTTGATAGAAATAATAATCAGATCTTAATTCAATACTTTTATTCTGACATTTTGTTCTCAAATTTCAAAAGAATGTATGTAGGGTCTATGCCATTACTATGGCCTTACCCTTTAACTTTGGTAAATTTCTGTGCGTAATATAGGGCTGAGCCCTTCCGCTTCCAAAAATCCTGCCATTTGAACTTCCTTGAAAGAGAGCTAAGAAGTTTCCCACCGATATCTACAGTTCTAGCCAAATGAACTTTCCACCACCGATTACTCAAAATCATAGAAAAATATGTAGGAGGCCTATTGCTTGTGTATAATCTAAAGTATCTACACCTTTGAAGTATGTAGTAAAATATGTAGTATGTAAAGTATGTAGTATGCATAGGTTTGAAATGCATCAGGGGTACCAGAAAAAGGTATGGAATTTTGCTTTGCAAACTCCAACAACAGATACCATTTAAAAGGTGAAGTTTAGCTGTCATTCCAAAGGCATTTTTACTTGTTGGTACGCTATTAGTTTCTTCACCCTAACATTCTTTGGCTGCAATTATTCAAGGGTACTTTGAAAAAAATTGTAGAAGAAAATGGGATTAAATTACAAGTTTATTTGGTGCAAAAAATTTTTTGAAATTCATGCATAGTTTTTTCTTAATACACATATTCTGTGAACCTTTTGAATCTCCCTCATATAGATTTAATAACTGTTGTTAAAAGAAAATTGTAACAACAAGCTCTGTCCTGCTTTATGTGTATATTCAAAGTTATGAAGCTAATCATATTATAAAGATATCTGCCCTAAAAAATGCTTACATTTTGTTAGATAGATCTATTTTAAACTTTTTGCTCTTTACTGCTACATCTATACTAACTGACATACTAGATGTTTTCAAAAACCTAGATTATAGTTATATTTTTTCAGACTTAAATAAGGGTATTAAATTTTTAACATTTAGATAGTAATGTCTTTGTCTTTTTTTTTTTCTGAGAGAGATTTTTTTTGCTATAGGGAGTGCGCGCTTGCCAGACAGACAGAGAGAGACATAGAGACAGAAAGCGAGAAATCACCCCCCAGGGAGGATGGTCACGCAGCAATCCTTTCTCCTCCATTCTCCTCTCGGGATCTTGGGCACGCACTCACACATGCCCGGCGTGAGTTCTAAGCCACCCGGTCCGGGAGGCAACTACGTGGGAATCCAGCGACATAGCCATTACGCTAACTGCTGGTTCCCGTAATGTCTTTGTCTTGACTCATATGCATGGTAATTGTGCTGGAAAAAAGAAATGTAGTACACTGTAAAGATATATGTGATTGGGGCCAGCAGGTGGCATGGTGGTTAAGGGAGCTGGACTCCCACATGGCCAACCAAGATTCAAGTCCCAGACCTGGCAGTTTGCTTTCACACTTTGTCGCTCTCTTGCTCTCTCTCTCTGTCCATTTCTGGTCAAATAAATAAATTAATTTAATTAAATATTTATTAAAAATACATGTGATTAAAAGTGATATTAAAATTATAATAATAAAATAAATTTTAATTTTTTTAACATTTAGAGAATTAAATCATAAATATTTCTATAGATTTCCTTAAATATATTTTTGCTTCAACCATTGAATTCGGAAACTTGGTTTTACTGCAATGGTAAATACATTTTATGACATTTTAAAAAATAAAAATCAGCATTTAAATATGTAGAAATTCAAATCACCAGCTACTCTTAGTATTGCATATACCATATTAAATTATCACTCTGACATTATTTTTGGATAAGTGTTTCTAATTTCCTAGGTAACCTGTTCATAGTGCTATATTTGAAATATCAAATATTATAGAATAGGGGTTTTTTTATTAAAAAGTAATGACATACAATGAGAATGATCATTGAAAAAATAATGAATGATTAGTTCAAACTTCTATAAGCAAAAAAATTTTTATTTAAAAATTTGAATATAAACAATAAGCAAAGCTAATTATTTAATTATTTATTACCCATCAGATATTTCATTATGGAAGTTAATTGGAAAGTGGCTGGTTAGTTTTTAATCTAAGCCGAAAATTTTTTAAAAATTTTTTCACAAGATATTTGTTGGCTCAACCCTCAGTTTAGTTTCCCACTTTTAGGAAATAGAAACATTTAAGCAGCTTCTCAGCATTTCTAACACAACATTTGAATTGTTCCATAAATCTGATTTGGTAGTATAATTAATCTTTTCAAACTTCTCATATATGTCTTCAAAGTTAATCATGCTTTCCTAGCTAAAATAATATTGCTAAAGGTCTTACCGTAGATGTTGTACACAGTTACCTTGTTCCGCTTCTTCACAAATAAAAACACATACACTTAAAAACAAGAGTGAGGCTTGCAACAGATACATCATATTTTTCTTGGATAAATGAAAACACCTCTTCAAATATCAGTCAGCTCTCTGTGAAAATAACTACAGTGCAGAGTATTCAGTTAAAACCTTCTGGAAGGTGTACAACAAAAATAGAAGCCAATACTAGTTTCCATGCCCTCATTTAAAGCAACACCCTTATATGAAAAACAAGGTAGCCTTTAGAGATTCCTGCATTTCAAATTACATGAATTCTTTTTTGTTGCTTTATGCCTGCTTTGTAAATTCATGCTTTCACAATATAGGCAATCAATAGATAATAAGTAAATAGATAATATAACTAAAGCATAGCTTATAAATTCATCTAGTTTTTATGAGTCAGATTCTTTATTTGCCTTTGGAAAAAATGCCTTTGATAAGCTGTGCCCGAATAGTTGTGAAAACAGTTCGCACAAAAATAGTAAGAAAGTAGAAATGACTGATGAAGTCAGAAGAATATTATATTGGAACTGTTAGTACAAAATGCTAAGCAGACATTTGATTGGTGTGGACATCCAGAACAGATCATTCAGACTTCGATATGCTTTTAACTGACTTTAGCTGTCAGGAATGATTGTATTAACCACATAAATTCCAAAGTTCTTGGATTCTGATTGATTTGTATGTTTACAACCACATTGTTAAAACTAAAACTTTTGATCGAGTAGAACTATTGTTATTGAGATTATTCTCTGAAGGTAAATGCATCCATGTCTGAGACAAGCTTTCAAATTGACCCTTACCATAGTTCTCTCCCTTCATTCTACAGATATATGTAAGTCTTCATTATCCTAAAATTAATAGGCAAAGCAAAACACTTGGACCTTGCTTCTGGTTCAGGTATATTATTTTCTCCATCTGCCTTCCTAGCCTGAGAATTGCAGGGCAAGGACCGCACCGGTTTTTTGTGGTATGAGCATAGTAGCGACTGATAGATATTAAACACTCAAATATTTGCTTAATGAAGATTTTTTTCTTTTTCTTTTTTTTTTTTTTTGCTACAGGGCACATGTGCTCACCAGAGAGACAGAGAGTGATAGAGAGACAGAAAGTAAGAAATCACACACACACACCCCCCCCCCGGGGGATGGCCACGTTGCAATCCCTTCTCCATTCTCCTCTTGGGATCCTGGAGATGCACATACATGCGCCCAGCGTGAGTTTAAGCCATCAGGTCCGGGACTCGAATCACAGTCAACTACATGGGAGTCCAGTGACATAGCCATTACACTAACTGCTGGTCCCAATGAAGAAATATTTTAAACATCTGTTTTCTGACTTTACTTCCTCACCACCTACTACTTAAATGCAAACCTTTTACTTATTCACACCACTGTCTCAGTTTCTCTAGGGAGGCCATACGAAATAGTTGAGAGTGCTGGCTCTGAAATCAGACTGCCTGATTTGAGCTTTGACATCTCCACCTCCTTACTCTAACCTTGGGCAAAGCTACCTGATATTGCTATCGTTCAACTATCTTCTTGCCAGAATGGAGATTATTGTATGGTTTAAAGGAATTAATATATGTATGGTCTTCAAAAAGTTCATGGAAAAAACTATGCTGACACAATTTTTTTGTATCTAAATAAACTTATGCTTTAATTTTCTTTTTTTCCATGAACTTTCTGAAGTACTCTCGTATGCAAGCCCTTAGCACAATGTGTAGGAAACAGCAAGCATCAAAATGTTAGGCAGTGGGCAAATGGTGTAATGGTTACATTGCTAGACTACCACGTAGTTGACTGCAGTTCAAGTCCTGGACCTGGTGGCTTTAAACTCATGCCAGGTGTGTGTGTGTGTGTGTGTGTGTGTGCCCAAGACACTGAGAGAATGGAGGAGAAGGGATTGTGACATGACAATCCCCCCCACCCCGGGAGGGGTTGATTTTTCACTTTCTCTCTCTTTGTCTGTCTTTCTCTCTCCGGCGAGTGCACATGCCCTGTAACAGAAATCTCTCTCTCTAAGAGAAAAACAAATTTAAAAAGTTAGGTGGTGTCATTATTAGTTCACTTGATCGAAATATACCTCTGTCAATGCTGACAATATTGGTGAACTTTATAATCTATATTAGGAGTAGATGACTATATATCTTTAATCTTCAATTTCTACAGTCGTTGAAATCTCATACAACTAAAATGAAGATTGCAGAACTTTAGCAATTTAAAATCAGCCACATGTTAAAATTCTTTGTCCTTTCTCAGCTTGCCCAGAGACAAATTCAGGAAATTCTTATTTGAGCAAGAAAATACTTTAACAGAGATGGAAAAGACAACCTGAGCCAAGATGAAAGTGAAAGCACACAAAAAAAAAAAAGTGGTCTACAACAGGCTGCCACCTGGATTGCAATGTTATAACACTTGTTAAGGAAGCAGGAGATCATTAACTGAGGCTGTCTCTGCAGGTTGAGCTCCTCTGTAAAAAATTGCAACCTAATTTAGGAGTGCATTTTTTTGTAAAAAACATAACGGGTTTCAGACAATTACAAACAGCTGGGCTTCAGCCAATCACAGGCAGACAATGGATTAGACCATGCCCGAATAATGGCCAATCAGGTGATTTCTCTACCTTCCTTCTGTGTTATCCTATAAAAGCTTGCTATTCCAACTAATGAGTGAAGCTCCCTGAGCCTCTTGTGGCTATGAGTGCTGCCTGACTCATGAATTATTCTTTGCTCAAATAATTTTTTGTATAATTATTGTATATAATTTTGTTTATAATTACTATGTTTTAATTTGACCAGAGAGAGAGGAGGGAAAGTGAGAAAGCAACTCACCAGGGCTGGGACTCAAACATGTAGGAGTCCAGTACCTCAACCACCACACCACCTTCTGGCTCTGCTCAAATAATTTTTAAAAATCATAATTCATCCGAAGTTTTTCTTTTAATACAATATTCAAATGAGATAAGTCACATAAACATGCTTTGTAACCATAAAGTGGCTATCATTGGTTTCCTTAGAATATCATTAACAGTTTGAGACCATGTTAATGAAACTGAATGTCAAATTAAACATCTCACAAATAACAACATTTAACATGTTTAGAGTCTAGTTCTTTTCTTTTTAATTGCCATAAGACTCACACATTCAGCAGAGAGAGACAGAGAAAACGAAAGCACTCTTAATGTGGTGTAGTCACATGACTATCCATTTCTCTATTCTTTGGGAATTATGGAGCACACCACACACTCGCACGTGAGCCAGCATGTTTTTCAAGCTGTCAGAGTTGGGATTCAAACTATGGTCAACCATGGGGGATCCAGCTCCTTTAACTACCAAGCTACAGGACCCACCCTAAAACCTAACTCATTCCTTCTTTCAACTCCTACCAATTCCCCCCTACCTTAGTAAATGAAAACATTTTGTATCCAATTGCTCCTGCTCAAATCTTTTTAAAAATTATTTAATTTTATTTATTTATTCATTTATTTTAATTTGACCAGAGAGAGACAGAGACAGAGAGAGAGAGAAAGTGAAAAAGCAAGCCACCAGTTCTAAGACTCAAACCATGGTTAGCCATATGGGAGTATCCAGCACCTTAACCACCACGCCTCCTGCTGGTCCCCCTGCTCAAATCTAAGAGTCATATTTGACTCTTTTTTCCTGTCACTTGCCACACCATCCACTTCATTGACTTGGGTTTCACATTTTAAATACTCCTTGCCACCTCCATCACTATTGTATTATCCTAAGCTTCTATCATCTCACCCAGCTATGAAAACCTTCTGTCTTTATTGTTTTTGATCTTATTACCAGCCAGTTAAGTCTGGCTGCTGCTTCTCAAGTTCAGTGAAACAAGAGACAGAGACTAGAGGAAAAAGGATTTTATTCTGTAACCAGTTACAGAGAAATAATCAGAAAGTACCATCAAATAATCTTGAAAAGCTCAGTACCTCAACCCATGGTTAGCCATATGGGAGTATCCAGCACCTTAACCACCACGCCTCCTGCTGGTCCCCCTGCTCAAATCTAAGAGTCATATTTGACTCTTTTTTCCTGTCACTTGCCACACCATCCACTTCATTGACTTGGGTTTCACATTTTAAATACTCCTTGCCACCTCCATCACTATTGTATTATCCTAAGCTTCTATCATCTCACCCAGCTATGAAAACCTTCTGTCTTTATTGTTTTTGATCTTATTACCAGCCAGTTAAGTCTGGCTGCTGCTTCTCAAGTTCAGTGAAACAAGAGACAGAGACTAGAGGAAAAAGGATTTTATTCTGTAACCAGTTACAGAGAAATAATCAGAAAGTACCATCAAATAATCTTGAAAAGCTCAGTATGTTCTTGGTATTTGTAAGTACAAGACGCAGCAAGCACATGCAAGTCATTCCTCACTATAGTCGATCAGAGTCATTCGTTTTCTCCTGATTAATTATCCTGATTCCTTCAAATCCCTATTCCTGGTTTCTCATTCGACCATTCCTGAAATAGATCTCTCTATGACTTGGCATTTGGTCAGACTGTTCTCATTAGAGGCCTTTCTTAATTTCAAAATGGCTACAGTCCTGCTAAACCTTAAACTGGCCTGCTACAGTCTTATCTTGTGTAGTCTAGATTCCCCGCAGCAGCGAGAGTTATAGAGTGCACTTGTAACTAGATTCTAGCTTTGTCCATAGTTTTAGTTCAAGGTATTTTGTGAATCAAAAAAATGTGGGGAAAAATGTAAAATAATAATAATAAAATTAATTTTTTTAAAAAAAAAAGATTAAATTAGTTCTGGGGCCAGCCAGTGGTATGGTGGTTAAGGCAGCTGGATCCCACGTGGTCAACTGTATAGTTTGAGTCCCAGACCGAGTGGCTTGGAAAACATGGTAGGTGTGTGTATATGCATACATGAAATCCCAAGAAGAGAATGAAAGCGAAGAAATTACAGAGTGGCCATCCACCTGGGGGGGAGGTTCACTCTCTTTCTCTCTCTCTCTTTTTCCAGTGAGTACATGCACCCTATCGCAAAATGTTTTTTAAAATTACATTAGATCATATTACTCTCCTATTCAAAACTCTTCAATGGCTCTCCTTCCATTGTAAGTGGGGTTTTA